GGTGTTGGGCCCTTTGCTCTTCACCGTTGATGGGTCTCCCACGTCGTGGTGTGGCATGTGGCAAGCATCCCCCATTCCAATCGGGGGTGCAGTTTGGAATGCCTTCCCGCTCATGAGCCCCTTTGCCCAGAGTGTTTCGTGACTCTTGGGGGGAAATTTAAACTGGCGCCGTGCTGCTCCCTATGCTCCCCGCATGCTCCCTCTCCCTTCCGACCGAAGTGGGGCATTCCGCATCCCTTGCCTGCCCTATCATGCCGTCGTTCACCGCCTCACTCCTCACAGCATCCGTCTCCGCTTTGCCACCATTCAAGGCCGCTGTGTCCTCCGCCATTCCAACACGTCTCCATTGCCGCCGATCACGCCAATGGCGGGTGAGCATCTTCCAGGCACAGAAGGCTTCCCATCGGCTCACTGTGTGCCATAACCTACGGCGATCCTTGCCGGTCAACGTCCGGCCAAGGTCGCCGCAGGTCGCATAGACATCCACGTCAATGCTCGGCTCAAGAACAAAGAGCATGAGCTAGCACAACCACCAGGCTCGCCATGCCGGTTTCCACCACCGGCGCGACTTCGGCGCGGAGCCTGACTCCAAAACCATGACACATTGTTTGCTTTCTCCGCTCGCACTCACACACGGTCGTTCCCAGACACGGGAAGCAAGCCGCAATTAGATGATGTTACAGAATGATTGTTCCACTCATGTAGTGTTCACTGCAAGCTTGTCCAAAAACATGTCTCTCCCCATCGTTCCCATCATTTCACCATACTGCACACCATACTTAATTCACCATAAGGACTTCACCCTCCACACAATCACCTATATACCTTTCCCATCCTCACAATAGTAACCATGGCTCGCAGCATCAGCAGCCGACAGCTCCGAAACATTCTATGTGGGACTTCTGCAGGGAATTTGAACTTACTGGACGGGTCCTGCCCTGCGAATGCCGGTGGAGCTGACGACATCTCGCATGACAATATTGACAGCCTCGCCTGCGGATGGCAATGGTATGCGACCCATCCTCCTGCATCGCTGCCACAGGTTCCTGCCTCTTGAACGAACTATGCGGCTGGTGAGGAGACAATACTGGGCGCCTCGGCTGTTGCTGGTTGGTTTCGGAGGTGGACGCAAGTTCGGAACCTGGAGGGGAGCGGGCCGCAGGGGCACTGAATGCAGAATTCACAGACAGGCATGGGCGACAGGAGGCTTGCTCCACAGGAATCTCAGCCGCATGGCTGGAGAGCCCCTGCACTCGGTGAGAATATGCGCTGCGCCAGGCGTAGTCTGTAGGCATCGCGAAGCCATTCACAATGATATGGGGCGCTGCAGCAGGGTGCTGTGCGAAAGCCCGTGTGTGCACCGTTTGTAGCATTCCGGACGTTGCACGCGCAAAAATTGGCCCACCACTTATTGCAAGCTCTGGACGCTGTAGCTTGAATATAGTTCTGGTAGCGAATTCCTCATGAATTTCAAAAGGGGGCCCTGCTGATGCTGAATCCTTGACAAGTCAGTGCTGCTGCCCCAACTGACCACGTGTGAATGCTAGCAAAGAATATGAAGTGAATACACATCTCTGATGCAGAGATGTGGTGACGGGAATGCATAGAGTTCTAACAGCCATGCACCTGAATGCATTCAAGACCTGTGGTTACAGGACAAACTAATGCACTATCTGGGCTACAACTCAACCGTAGTCAAAGTAAAATCGCAATCTGCACGTGCATTTGTTTTGCAGCTCTCTTCATCTAACAGTTTGGCTTCGGCTGCCCCTTGGTACGATGAGGAGGAGTATGACGTCATTGTCGTCGGCGCTGGCCATGCGGGGTGTGAGGCGGCCCTTGCATCAGCTCGGCTAGGCTGTAGGACCCTCCTGCTCACGCTCACTCTTGACAAGATCGCTTGGCAGGTGAATGTTCTTCTGGCCAGCTGATTGTTTTTATCAATTCTCCAAGATGTGCCCAGCAGATTCTATTCAGCTGATTAGGAGGTGGCATGAATGTCCATTGCATGATGTGGACTTCCTGATGACCACACTTCCATGATGTGCTCTGCACAGTGTAGACCTTCAAAAGCACAACAAGGACGCCCCAACAGGTCCCCTACAGGACAGAGTGGCACATAGTTGAGCTTGCAATTAATAGTGTGGGTGGTGATGATTGGTGGCTCGATGTGTCTTCTCTGTGAGGTGCGCCTAGTGAGTTTGATCTGTCGTGGTGCTGTTCCTTTGGTCATGACTGCTGTTCTTTGAGAAACTTGGCAAGAATTGGTGTCCTACACTCAGGGCTTGATCACCACTTTCCTTATGGTGAGGAGAGGTTCATTTCTTGTATGGAAAATGCCAACATTCTGGGAGGTTGAACAATTTGCTGGATAAACTGCACTTGACATTGTCACAGTTGCCCTGTCATCAATCGAATGTGGGGACTATGTGCAGTTTAAGCGGCAAAGGCATGTTTGAGGGACTTTCAGACGACCTGTTTTTGTGTATGACTGGGTGCCCTGGAGAGTGCATTCTATATGTGTGCACGTGTGTCGCGCAGCCCTGCAATCCAGCCATTGGGGGACCAGCCAAATCGCAACTGGTTCATGAGATAGACGCCCTTGGTGGTGAGATGGGGCGAATGGCGGACAGGTGCTACCTTCACAAGCGTGTGCTGAACCTTTCAAAGGTGCTGTGGACTCTGCACACTGTGAGATATATCACTGATGTTTGCCTGCTTCTTTGCCTGTAAACAAGGTGTATTTTGGTTCATGCACACTGAAGTTTGCTTCTGTGAACTGTCCTGGAATTGGTACTTGCAGGTGCCACATGATATGATGATGGTGGAGCCAGGTTACAAGGAAGTTCTTTGCTGACAGCACAACTGTGATGCAGGGTCCTGCAGTGTGGGCGCTTCGTGCACAGACTGACAAGGTTGAATATTCCAGGATCATGAGAGGAGTGCTTCAGAGCACTGAGAATCTTGACATTCGTGAGGTGAGGATGGCTGCTGTTTTTTCCCATTCAATTCTAACCGTGTAGCCTGTTTAGCTTGGGTGAGAACATCTTCCCAAGCAAACACATGCATGCGATGCCCAGCCTGTCTGAGCTTGGGCTTTCACCTGGCAGGTTGCAGAGGAACAAATCTGGGGAATTCGAGCATTACAGCTTGCTTTGCAGTTGCCGTGTTTGTGTGCTTGGAACTAAAGAATGTGGACCGTTGTGTCCCCATCACTTGTTTGACGTACACAGTGGAAAATCAATGGAAATGATGCTGTCTCTTGCTTTTGGTAGTCCCACTGTGCACCATGTTGTCATTGGCCACCCAACATTGCTTGTTCCTATGGCGCATATGCTAGCTTGCTTGTAATGTGGTCATTTCAGCTGTGTAGTTAGGAGAGTGCTGTGGGCACATTAGCCCCAGTACTGCTTTTTCAGTTCCATGTGAACATACCTGCACAACACTGACACAAACACCCTTATGGCAAGTTCCAGAAAGTGTCAGGACATACCCTGAAAGAAGTGGAGCAAGTGATTTTGCTGGGTTTTGCACTCGATTTGGCTTGCTGAAATGGCTGCTAGGCTGTGAATTGAAGACCGGGCTCCAGATTTTGAGCTTCATGTTTGGGATGTGGTTTGCAACACCAGGTGCAAATGGTACCAAGTATGGGGTGCAACGTTCTGCATCTTTTGTGCTTGTGGTTGCAGGGCATGGTAGTGAGCCTTGACATTGGCCCAAATGATGATGTCCGGGGTGTGCACACCTATTTCGGTATAACTTTCCGGGCAAAGTCTGTTGTTGTGACAACAGGCACATTCATGAACGGCCGAATATGGGTAGGAAGAACGTCAATGGCGGCAGGAAGGTACAAAATCATGTTTCCTTGCCCTTGCTTGGCAATGTGACAGGGGACAACCAACATTTTGTTTGTTTTGCATTTAATTCTTGTGAGACACAAGCATTGTACTCCTGCTGAATCATTGTGCAGATCCCTCACCTCAACGACTGTATACCCATTGCCTGCTACCCACAATCGATCACTTGGTCCAGGGGCTGTGCAAATTCTCACTGGCTGCAGACAGCAGTGTAAACTCTCTTAACCCCTGCATATTGACAGGGCTGGGGAGTCATCTTCTGTTGGTTTGACAGAGTGCCTTCAGGGCTTGGGTTTCGAAACTGGAAGGCTGAAAACAGGAACGCCTGCACGTGTGGACCTAAGAACAGTGGACTTCTCTACTCTTGAGGCGCAGCCAGGTGAGTGATCCACCTTCATGTGCATACATGTGGCCGAAGGGACAATTGTCGGTTGTGTACCTTTGCATGTTGAGTGAGCTGATGGACTGCAGATGCTGTATGCTTTGTGCTCATGCTGTGCATCTTTTTTTGTGTGTTGCAGTCTGTGAACTGTTGATTAACTCAAAATTATTCTGTATTCAGTTTGGTGCACAGCACATGCAGTGGTGTCTTTTTCTGCTTTGTGGCAACGGCTCAGCAGCCAACTATCATTCAACTTTATGCCCAACTATACCTGTAACAACAGCTACGTTATGTGTGGTTGATCTCCACAACTGGTTGGCAGATACCCTGCATTTCTATTTTATTGGTCCCCAGAGTCAGGAGAGGCCTTGTATGTGGGTTTGGGATTGCTGCATAGAAGGCACAAGCCAAGGTGCCACTAGAAGCACATGCTGCCAGCCTTAGCCAACAAGTGAACGTTCCAACACCGTGTGAATTTATACAGAATAGGCGTCCATAGTGGCATAATTTCAGAATTCTACTTCAGCAGTGGTGATCCACAAGTGAACGTTCAACACCATGTGATTTTTTACAGAATAGGCATCCATAGTGGCATAATTTCAGAATTCTACTTCGGCAGGGGTGATCCACAAATTGGAAAACCCATCGCAAAGGCACTGCGGCAGTGCAGTTTCTGTGCAGTGAACTCAAATCCGATACTTTGTGATTGTACTTTTAGGCGATGAAGGAGCACGATGGTTCAGTTCTGATCCGGATGTTCATATTGAGCATGAGCAGATGCCCTGCTTTATTACAAGAACCACAGATGCAACACACGAGTTGATACGCAACAACCTGACTGAATCACCGACATATGGCGGTTGGGTGGACTCAAAAGGACCAAGATACTGCCCTTCGATAGAGGACAAGATTGTTCGCTTTGCGGACAAGACCAGCCACCAGGTACATGGATCAGTCTATTATGGCAGCAATGTGGATTTTATTACTCTCTTGTGCAGGTCGAAGACAATGGACGTCTGAGCTGACGAATCGGCACCGGCTTCTCCCATGAAATGTACGTGTAGCAGAAAGATTGTGTGTCTGTGTATGTGCCGTGCATGGCTGTATTCCTGTTGACTACTTTGTGCTGTGCAGATCTTCCTGGAACCGGAAAGTCGCACAACTCCTGAGCTGTATGTCCAAGGGTTTTCAACAGGATTTCCTGAGAGACTGCAGAAAGCACTCCTGCAAACATTGCCAGGTCTTGAGAACTGCAAAATGCTTAGACCGGCATATGCGGTGGAATATGACTACCTACCAGCTTATCAGTGTGATGCAACACTCGAAACTAAGAAGTTCCACGGTTTGTTCTTCAGTGGCCAGATCAATGGAACAACAGGTAAAAGAGATTGTGTTCTTGCCAGCCTGTTTTCTGGCCATTCCATGCATGCGCTGCCCTTGAGGGGCGAGTGTGAAACTGCTGTGGCTGTGTGGTGAGGACACATTGCAGGACTGGTCTCCTCGCAAACCTCAGGAGAATAGAACCCTATCACTGCAGCCAAGACACAGTGTTGGAGAGCAGTTCTCGTAGCTCTGCTGTGTACTTGCTCGCTTTCCCATGCATGCTGGCCCTTTCACAACAAGGCTCTTTCGAACACCACAGCATTCTGTTTGGGAACCTGACCAGAGCTTATTCATAGCACCCAGCAAGCCAAGTGCACCAAATTCGAGGGTGTGCTGCTCCAACAGAAAGGTGTGCCCATTTGAGCTGTGTGTGCTGTTCGTTGCAGGGTATGAGGAGGCTGGCGCACAGGGTCTAGTGGCTGGTATAAATGCTGCTCGCAGAGCTCAACAGCTTTCGCAATTTGTGTTAACTAGAGAAAGCTCGTACATCGGCACTCTGGTGGACGACTTGGCTACAAAAGATCTAAGAGAACCTTATAGAATGCTCACCAGCAGATCAGAATTTCGTTTGCTGCTACGAGCGGATAATGCAGACAGTCGGCTAACTCCACTTGGACGACGAATCAACCTCGTTGATGACAGAATGTGGGGAATTTTCTGTGAGAAGCAGGTACAGTGTTCCTGTGTCGTGTTGTGCTCTGTACTGGTGCTGTAGCCAAAGCAACACTGCCATCATACACATTATGGGAGTTGTCTGTGTGTGAGTACCTTTGTTTTTGAGAGGCTTACATGTGTGAGGTGCCTGGCCCTGCACAGCTAATGTGTCCAGATGCATCAGTGCTGCAAAATTTGGAGCTGCCTGCTCAAAGCAAGCAGCTTGTGTTCTTTAAATGTGCTGATGAATGCAAACATGGGCACACCACAAATCCCATCACCTCCTTGGGGGCGCAGTGGGCATACAATCAACTTCGATGGAGCATGCCCGTGCTGATGGCCACATGAAGCAGCTGGGATTGTTTGACATAATGGTCCTGTTTATAGATTTAGAAGCTTGAGGTGGAGCCGTACACTTGCTAGTATTGATGCTACTTGCAGTATAGTTAACAGCAACTGCGACAGTAGGAACGCAAATGCAACAATTTTTGCAGTCTGCATCAGTGGTGGCCACAAGGAGCACAAAGAGTGTCCATGTCATGTGTGGCACCATTTCCATCTCCACGTGGTTCGATTGGAAGGAGGGTGTACTATCAATGCAGCAGTTTCCTTGCATTAAATTGGGGCAGTGTGTCTGGTCCACAAGGACTTGTAATACTATTTTTAGAGGACAGACAAATCACACCCATGCAGTATATTGCTCCTCTGTTGCAGGGTGCACTGATGGGCGAAATGTCGCCATCTACGAAGAGCAGAATGACAGCCTGGAGCTGCATATAGTAAGATTGTGTGCTTGTGATGAAGGCTCGCATGGATACTGAATGGCGTCGCCTGGAGGGAGTGCGTGTAAGTCATACCCACCCAGTGTGCCTAGATGCCGGGAAGCTGTCTGGACAGCGTGTGTCTCAGCCTGTGACATTGGCTGAGTTGCTAAGGAGGCCACACGTACACTATGACTTGCTTGACAGACACCAGATGGGGGCAGACCAGCAGGTAATTTTTTTGGACTCTTGCGACACTCCAGTCCCATTCGCCGGAGTTTCTGGCACCTAGAGAACCCATCCATTGCCTCCAGTGCTGAATTTTTGTGCAGAAACGGCAGTGTTGGGCAGGGAGCTTCGCACTTCCAGTTGCAAAGCTCCCTGACAATGATTGTAGACTTGGTATTGTCACAAAGCCAAATGAATATCAACACTCAGCAACAATTGTTGTGCACTGTATAATGTGCACACATGATATGTGTATTGTCTCATCAACAGCTTGCGCAGCGTGCAATGCAGGAGGTGATAGGAAATGACGCCTTCTGGAAACGAAAGTAAGAGGGAGCTACTAAACGCCCCGTGGCAGGCTGTGTTTGGCACAGAGTGTGTGCCCATATGCCCGGCCAGATGCTGACAATTGGCAGTTATTGATATTGGCAGACACTTGTGGTTGTGGTTGGCTTACAGGTGAGCACATTAGCAATAGTTTCTAAACCAGCATTCGTTGTATCGCTTGCATTTCTTGGCATTGTGTTTGTCACACTGTGATACTTGTGTGGTTGTATCGCACTTTTGTGGCAGAATTGTGTAGCAACCATGCACACAAGCGCCAGTATCTTCTGATCGAGTCTCTATTAACCAGGCTGACCACACTGCTGCTCTGTGATCACCAGGGAACAGGATTAACCCATACTGAAAAAGAGGGTGTCGAAATTGCCATAAAATACTCTGGGTTCATCAAGCGACAAGAAAAGCATTTGCAGCAGATGAAAGCGAAAAGAGGGAAGAAAATTCCTGATGGCATTGACTATTCAATGCTGGAGACGCTTTCCATGGAAGCCAGGGAAAAACTACAAAAGGCAAGTATGGTGACTGCTGATAATGGCCTCTGGTTGCCTGGTTCTGTGTTCTGAAGTATCTGGCCATTGCGTTGATGATTTCCAGGTGCGACCAAAGGACATCGGTCAAGCTTCGACAATTGGAGGTGTGAATCCTGCAGATGTGAACGCTTTGCTGCTCCACTTGGAAGTTCGTGACCGGAGGGGAAGAAAGAGAGAACGAAGGGATAGGCAAGAGCCAGTGGCAGAAATTGAAAGCATGCTATGACTGTACAAAGCTGGGCATGACAGTGCCATGGTAGTAGGAAGAGGGAACAAATTCATGCAGCTGGTGAAGGTATATCAAGCTGACTATATGAGTTGCTGGTCATATGGGTTTGTCACACAATTGTCGAAAAATGGGGATAAAAATGAGAATGGGGCTCGAAGATGAATGCAAATGGGAGACGTGCGGATGGGCATTGTCACATCGGCAGCAGATGACGACCAGTTAACGCATTTGCAGCAGAAGTACTCCACGCACTCGATCACAAAGCCAGCATACGCAGGTCATAGTACTCCCGTGTAATTGACTGCGCTCGAGGCCTAAAAAATGGACAACAATACACTTCCCACTGTCTGCGTCGTCGTACAGGTGGTGGTAAGTGAAGTCCCTCAAGCGGACCTGCGCCCTCAGTTATATAAGCAACAACCTCCAAGATTAGGTGTTATCGCTTATCTATATACCGATTTTGGTCACACATACACGATGGATTATGCCGAACCCAGTCTGACCAGTCCATAACCGCTACTTCTGTATAGTTTATGACCCAGCCTTGCATACACTATACTTCAATCAGTGTGAGTCAGTAACTAAGATGGATCAGTAACTATTCATACATTCTAGCCTCGCAATCAGTTTCCATCCCAAGATGTCACACCACATGGCGTGGTTTTGGGGTTGGTGCGGGCAATGCGCCCGCTGAGGCGCCTGCTGAGGCCCAGATGGCCTCCTCCGCCGGATGGCCGGTGGGCTTTGCCGGGGCACGCGTGTTTTCAAGTTTGCAGTGTGGGCCCAGCCTGCAAGACGGCTGGGCGTGGGGCGGCTGGGCGCATTATGGGAGTACAACACTGTGTGGCTCGCGGGTGCAACTGCTGGGTGTGAATGGGCGAGAGAAACAGAATTAAAGATTGACAACGCATATTCACCCCTTTGGGGGGGGGCCACCGCCCGGATCACGTGACAATGCAACATTCGGGCCCGGCAATAGTATCTCATCCCCCCAATACGGCACGGCAAAGGGGGTCTGAAGTACTAGAAGTGTATCTAACCATGTCTCCTCTATTGCTAACCCAATGGAGGTGGTTCAAGAACCTATATGCTTTCAATGAAGTGCAAAAGGCGGTAGTCCATTCTGGCTGTCATCCCCGGAGATAGCGCAATCAAATCACACCTGAACAGGCAGCTGAGCCACGTCGACAGGCTCAGCACCACATCAGTTGAGGGGTCACTGAACGACCAAGCATTTGCCCCTCTCGCAAGTGGGCTCCTCATGAAGAACAGCTTGTCGCGCTGATGATGACCCAACAAAAACAGCAGCGACAACAAGGGGAAGCTTTGAATGGATAGCAAACATCCCACTGCCAGCCAGCCATGCAAATATGCTTGTAGAAACTCTCACTCGTGCCGCTCAAAGCACCTCAACCGGTCGCGACTGCTCCTCAACGGTCAGTGAAGACAAAACAAAAGTCAAGTGCATGGGTTCGGGCTGCCTTATCCACAACACATCAGTGTATGACATGGAAAACGTTTCTCTCCGCCTTGACAAGGCTGTGCAGTGATGAGGCTTTGGAAGTTCTGGCTGGCAACTATACCACATTGGAGGTGCTGGTCTTGAACGGCAAGGGAACGCCTTGAAAACACAGCGTAGATTGGCGGCAACCTTCAAAAAGGTCAAGCGCTATTGCACTCAGGTTGTGGCAAACGTTGCGCGCACGGCCAGGGGAGTCAACAACCAGGTCGAAAGCCTAGACCGCTGTGCAAGACACACGCAGACCCCACGTAGTCGTTCTTACAACTGCCATGCCGAGTGCAACAATGGAGAGTCCCCACAACAATGTTCGTGCCCCCAGTACTTGTAACCTCCCCCGAGTTTGAAATGGCCCCCCTATGAAACAATATTGTTTGATTCCGTGGAATATTTCCGCCACACTGCCGTGTCACCACAAATTAGAGGTGGCCACCCGGATCCGTTAATAGCGGACAGAGGTTAATTTCCATTAATTTTCTGTTAATTAACGGAAAATAACCAAAAAAGACAAAAATTAACCAAAAATTAGCGGATTTTTGGATTTTTTGGGGATTTTTGGGTTTTAGTCATACTTATAGTTTATGGAATTCGCTATTAGAGAGTATGTTTGTATTTTATTTCAACCTATGCATACTAGATTTTCAACTAGCCGCAGTTGTTGTGATTTTTTGTTTTTTTTTTCGATTTTTTGGATTTTTTTCGTTTTTTCTGAATTTTTCTCCCTTTTTCTTTAACGAAATTTAACGGACAGCTGATAAAAATTAACGAACCGGATTTAACAGACCGGATGGCACCCTTGAATGGCCACCTCTACCACAAATCACACCGGTGCGCCACACTTCCCGGCCACGTACTACCCCACAGGGCCGTATTCCCATCAAAAGCTACATGGCGCCTCTGCGGCCCCCTCCTAACCCCGTCTCATAGTGCCCTATGTCAGGTCGCACAAGGGGCAACACCCCTCCATCCAAATAGCACCATCGCACATAAAATGCCATATCTTGCTCACTCTGGATCCGTTTGAGGTGAAATATTTTGCAAACGATTTCTTTAAAACACCTCTACATAACTTGGAATAAGAACAACATGTTGCAAGTCTAACTTGCAACTGATTGATCTTTTCCAATCCAGATTGGATCAACTTTCGTAAGTCCCATTTTGTTGACTGATGGCACCCAACCTCCCGTGACAAGCCATCTTGCTCTGAGCTAGGGGCACACTTCTGAGCAGCTTGCATGGCACAGGACGCCAGAATTCTCCAGCACCATGCCAAGATGATAAATCTAGTTGTAGTACATTTGCATACCTCTCGCATCAACCCTACAACCTCCTGTCCCGCACATCCATGCCGCCCACGCTCGCTCGAACTCACAGCGCACTACCACACAGCCAACCACATAGGGGGAAAGGCCTGCCCGTGTTCTAGAACCCTCCCACCAACTTCGTCCTCAACCGTCTCAATCCACGATTTGGTCTTGTGTCTGCCATCCCCCATCGGCAGCACCATGGCTAGCCACAAGCTGTGGCTATGTGATTGAGTGTGATTGAGACAATGTGATTGAGCTGAGACGGCTGTGGCCCACAGCCGTCTCGGCTCAATCAATAGGCATTGCTCAGGAAAACTGATGCAACACGACTCACCTAGCCTTTTTGCATCCAATGCGCCCGGTCACGCGTGGCTGTAGCCCCTGCCAAAGCAAACGCATATGCCCAACAGCGACGTGGGTGCTTTTCATTACTTCATGGTGTTTCGCAAATATGTCTCATGCTAGTGTGCATGTGATGCACGCTACCACGCACTAGAGTTGTGTCCGGCATCACAATTGCATTGCTTTTGGATTCTTGGGCATATAGTGAGGCTGCCATGATCCCTCTTTGTCACTGAAGTCGTCTTCTTACATTCTGAGTGCCTTGGGCTTGGGTTACTAGAAAATTCAGGAGCAACCCTATTTGGTGTTTTGGGGTTTATGCCTCGTTGAGTGCCAACCTATTGAAGGGAAATTAGTGGGGCGAAGGTGCTTAGGCTGCCAACATCCCCTTTGCATCATTTCTAGGTTTCACCGGTCGCCAGCTGAGTGATATCTTTAACTTACTGATTTTTTGATGAGCCCCTTTTATTGGCGACCCAAACATAAAGTTTACTTTCACATAAGATTGTACTATCATATTGTTCATTGTATTTTAACCTCCCAATTGCCAAAGAAACATACTACCCCTTGTGATTTACATCATAGTATTCCCTCATGGGGTAGTTGGGGCGGGTGCTCTTGAGCATAATCCCGTGTTGGGCCCAAAGAGTTTGGCACTCCCATATTGCCGGCCGCATGGGTTCAAATCCCGGTGCCGCTCGGGAGTTACCGGCTCCTCCTTTTTTGGGGCCCCCACGGGGACCAATACCCGGATCCCCAAAAAAGGTGCCCATGTGGGTTTAGGGGGTTTACCCATGGAAAGGGTGGGGGGGACTTAGTATAGAGACAAATCCACCGCCAGCGTCCTCTAGCACTTAATGCACGCCAAAAAATCAGAAAAAAAATCAAACTAACATGAGGGCCCAAGGGGGGCTCGCCGGAGAGCACCTAGGCATACGCCATGCGCAAGAACGCGGCCATCCATACCTGAGAGGTACTTGCAATGATGCTAGCAAAAGGGATCCGCGGGCGGCTGGCTAGTACTGGCGCCGCTGCCTAGTATGGACCGGTGGGCGCTGGCCAACCTGGGTGCAAAAATTGAGAGAAAACTCCAAGGGATTCAGTAACCCCAAGCAGGGAAAAGGCGGACCTAGAAGTCTAGAGGAGCATTGGGGCTGTAGAGCCAGGTGGGCAGTCACATTAGGAAGGTAGTCGGAGGAGAAGTCAAGAGATACCACGGTGGCGACATGCACAATGGACTGTCGTAGTGCCAGGATTGGAAATCTTCTTCTTCTTCCTGGGGGTAGTTTTGCCCTCATAACCGCAGGCTAACTAGTGGACCTAATTATCCTCTGCTGGTTTGTCTCTCTTGATCATCTTCTTCAGTACTTCTGGGTAGATATAATTATCTTATGGAGTCTAAGAAACATTGTCAATCAAACAGTCCTTCCAAATGACCAAATACTCCTTGTGCCTCTTGGTATTGAGACTAGCCCACAGCCAATGCAACAATTTTTCGATGTCATATGGCTCGTCATCTTCAGGCTCTAACTCCTCCACCTGACCAGATGTAGTAGGTTGCGCTCATGAATTGGTCCTGAAAGGATACAACAAGCTGATATGGAAAAGATTATGAATCTTCTATACTTAGGGGAGTTCGAGCTCATAGGCCACTTGTCCCACTAGGCAGATAATAAAGAATGGCCTAACAAACCTTTTCTTCAATTTACAGATCGGTGCTTTCTTTAAGTTCAAATACTCTGTTGAGAGCATCACTTGATCCCCGCTACTGAACCTTTGTTTTCTTCTCTTCTGGTCAGCTTGCGCATCCATACAATCATGAGCGAATG